CAGCTGCACACAAAAACAACAAAACATTGCAGCAAGACACTGTAGGGCATGAGAAAAATTCAGTTCTTTTAACACTACATTAGGGCTTAATCATAACTACAAGTCATGAGCCATGCTCAAGCACCGATGTAGTGTGAAAACCGTTGACTTTTTGTCATGCCCCACAATATCTTGCTGCAATGTTTTGTTGTTTTCATGACTCAATAAAGGTGGATTTTTTTGGAGTGCAGCTGCCGAAACATCTGTTTTATACACATATACGTATCTTCACTCAAGCTAGTTTTCTAGGTGTAATTCTAGACTCTGACCTTTCCTTTGGGTCCGCCATACAATCATCGAGCAGATCTTGCCACCTTAACCTTTGTGACATTTTGAAAATTCACCCCTTCAAGACCAACAGCACCACAAATCTACTAAATTATTCAATTATTATTTCCTGTTTTGCCTATTACAACTCCATTCTTAGTAATCTACCTGCTGCTAGACACCTTAGTAACCAAAATGATCTGTGGCTTTTGCTCCTCTCTGTCTATCTCCCCACTGGGTTCAGCTAACCAACACATAAAGTTCAAAATACTAACAACAACATACAAAGCCATCCAAAACTCTACCCCCAGCTACATCACCAATCTCAGCTCGAAATATCACCCCAACTGGCCACTTCACTCCTTCCAACATCTCTTGCTCTCTAATTTGTCCCTTCTTCTAACACTTGCTACAGGGACTTCTCCAGGATCTCTCTCATCCTCTCAAACTACCTACCTCAATCTGTCTGGCTATCTCCTATCCTGTCCACTGTTAGGTGACCCCTAAAAATGCATCTGTTCAGGGAAGCCTTTCCCACCTCCATCTAAAAAAAGTACTTCTTCCTTTTCTATCAGTTCATCCATTACAGTTATTATTTTATGTACCATTTGCCCTCTTTTAGATTGTAAGCTACCACAAGCAGGACCTTCCTAATCTTCTTGTATCAAATTGGACTAAAACTGTTCTGTCTCCCTTCATTTTGAATTGGGCTGTGTAAACTGTTGTACTATATACATTCTGTATAATAATAATAATAATAATAATAATAATAATAAATTGCTTCTACATGCTAGTACATTTAGTACATGTGTAGCTCACACCTGAGTTTTCCATTTGTTTATCAATGTATCTGTCTAGCTGTTATAAGAGTACTAATTATTATCATGTGCTCCTGCTCTTCGTTTGATGTTAGATTTTTGCTCAAGAGATCACAGTCATTTTTATGTCAAAAAGTTGTGTATAAAATCTGCTTTAAATGTATTTATTGAAATAGTGTAAAAGGAGCCAGCTCTAAGTATGTAAAAACTCTTGGGAGCAAAATTATTTTTATTTAAATTATTTAAAAGCTGGGAACCTTGTGGGGTAGAAATGCTGGCTGGGGTCTCAAGAACTGATTGAGTGATCGATCAATTGAGTGATTGATCTTGACAGAAGAATGGGAACCTTGTGGGGTAGAATTGCTGGCTGGGGTCTCAAGAACTGATTGAGTGATCGATCAATTGAGTGATTGATCTTGACAGAAGAATCCATAAATTTGTTTGAGGATGACATATTCTTGATGTGTGACTTGGTCATTGTTACAGATCACTGTAGCTTCTTGAACTGTTTTTACTTTCTTTTCTTAGAATGAAAATGCTAAAAAAAATGGAGCAGATACGCACATTGAAGGATCACTATCTGCTCGGGAAAAAGTTGGTGTGCAAGATTTTGTGCTGCTAGATTCACACACCAGTGAAGCCGCTTTCATGGACAACCTGCGCAAGAGATTTCAGGAGAATCTTATTTATGTAATTCTTGCTTAATTATTTGGTTGACAGCAGTAGTATCATAACACCAGTAGGAGAACTGTGTTGTGAATGCAATATCATTCATTTTTGTTACTAACTACTGTAAACGTGTTTATTTTCCAATACACAAAGACATTTTTTCCTTGTAAACGTTAGTCTGGCCATCATCATCATAAGAGCCAGCAGGCAGCTTTCTTCAAACCTTGATTTTTCCAGAGACTTCACCTTAGATAACAGTAGTGTTTTCAGCAAACCTTTGAGCATGTTATGAGCAGTTTTACTGAAGCCTTTAGTGCACCCTTCAGCTCCACTTCGGAGATATTAAAGTAAAACTGAAAAAAAAAAATTTGGGATTCGCCACAAGCCAAAATACCTCTGCCAATGACTATCTGCCCAGATCGCTCCTGTTTACTGTACAAATCATACCTTTTCTGATGCTTGATACAACATGCAGTACTCTTTATCTATTGATGCAACTGAGAGTTCCAGTTGCATCCTGAAAGGATCCTGGTGTTTCCTTTCCTTTCTCCACTTCCATTTATGAAATTCCTTATATATTGTTTACAAAATTCAAGGCATTCTTTGAATGGACAAGGGGAGTGTCAGGGGAGTGTCAGGGAGTGTGGAGCCAGACACACAAGGAGGTGCAATTCTGGGGTCAGAAGCCAGGAGGAGTCTTAGCCAAAGCTGAGTCGGTATCCAGGAAAGCAATGAGTAGCTAAACAGGAGCTTGCTGCTGTGCAAGAGACAGGACACGAATGCAATGGACAGCCACAAACAGCAGACTTATACAGTGGGGCAAAAAAGTATTTAGTCAGCCACCAATTGTGCAAGTTCTCCCACTTAAAAAGATGAGAGAGGCCTGTAATTGGCATCATAGGTAGACCTCAACTATGAGAGACAAAATGAGAAAACAAATCCAGACAATCACATTGGCTGATTTGGAAAGAATTTATTTGCAAATTATGGTGGAAAATAAGTATTTGGTAACCTACAAACAAGCAAGATTTCTGGCTCTCACAGACCTGTACCTTCTTCTTTAAGAGGCTCCTCTGTCCTGCACTCATTACCTGTATCAATGGCACCTGTTTGAACTTGTTATCAGTATAAAAAGACACCTGTCCACAACCTCAAACAGTCACACTCCAAACTCCACTATGGCGAAGACCAAGGAGCTGTCGAAGGACACCAGAAACAAAATTGTAGACCTGCACCAGGCTGGGAAGACTGAATCTGCAATAGGCAAGCAGCTTGGTGTGAACAAATCAACTGTGGGAGCAATAATTAGAAAATGGAAGACATACAAGACCACTGATAATCTCCCTCGATCTGGGGCTCCATGCAAGATCTCACCCCGTGGGGTCAAAATGATCACAAGAACGGTGAGCAAAAATCCCAGGACCACACGGGGGGACCTAGTGAATGACCTGCAGAGAGCTGGGACCAACGTAACAAAGGCTACTATCAGTAACACACTATGCCGCCAGGGACTCAGATCCTGCAGTGCCAGACGTGTCCCCCTGCTTAAGCCACTACATGTCCGGGCCCATCTGAAGTTTGCTAGAGAGCATTTGGATGATCCAGAAGAGGACTGGAAGAATGTCATATGGTCAGATGAAACCAAAATAGAACTGTTTGGTAGAAACACAACTCGTCGTGTTTGGAGGAGAGAGAATGCTGAGTTGCATTCAAAGAACACCATACCTACTGTGAAGCATGGGGGTGGCAACATCATGCTTTAGGGCTGTTTCTCCGCAAAGGGACCAGCATGACTGATCCATGTACAGGACAGAATGAATGGGGCCATGTATCGTGAGATTTTGAGTGCAAACCTCCTTCCATCAGCAAGGGCATTGAAGATGAAACGTGGCTGGGTCTTCCAACATGACAATGATCCCAAACATACCACCCGGGCAATGAAGGAGTGACTTCGTAAGAAGCATTTCAAGGTCCTGGAGTGGCCTAGCCAGTCTCCAGATCTCAACCCCATAGAAAACCTTTGGAGGGAGTTGAAAGTCCATGTAGCCCAGCAACAGCCCCAAAACATCACTGCTCTAGAGGAGATCTGCATGGAGGAATGGGTCAACATAACAGCAACAGTGTGTGCCAACCTTGTGAAGACTTACAGGAAACGTTTGACCTCTGTCATTGCCAACAAAGGATATATAACAAAGTATTGAGATGAACTTTTGATATTGACCAAATACTTATTTTCCACCATAATTTGCAAATAAATTCTTTCCAAATCAGCCAATGTGATTGTCTGGATTTTTTTTCTCATTTTGTCTCTCATAGTTGAGGTCTACCTATGATGCCAATTACAGGCCTCTCTCATCTTTTTAAGTGGGAGAACTTGCACAATTGGTGGCTGACTAAATGCTTTTTTGCCCCACTGTATGTGATAAGCCGCCACCTCCTGGGGGAGGAGCCGCAGAGGGCTGAAAGCATAAAGGATCCCACAATGCTTTGCAGACACCTAAGATGGATGCCAGCACATGGAGCAGCACAGGGTCTGAGGAAAGGTAGGACCTTGACAGGGAGAGGAGGGGCGGGTAAACAACAGGATCTTCTCTTGTCAGTTGAAAGAACTCTGTGTATTCTGTGAACAGAATACAAGACATTTTGTGAATGAACAAGGGGAGAGGAAATGGAGGGTGAAAAACTGAATCACTTCACTGTACAAGAGCTGGAAATCAAAGAGCACTGTGTGCATCAGTGAAGCTATGATTTGTACAGTAAACAGCAGCTATCTGTTCATAGCATAGCCATCACTAGAGGTCCCTTATCTGACTTGTGGTGTTTCCACTTGTGGTTTTCCTAGAGTGCTACTTTAAACACAGATCAGATTTAGTTACATAGGTTTAAAGAAGACACAAGTTCATCTAGTTCAACCAATAGACTGTTGACTGTTTCTTTAAGCAAGTAGGCATCAGCAAACAATATGTTTTAATTTGTGCTGAAGCAGGTGATTCTGTACTTAAATTAAAATCCCCGCACAAACGTCACCTTTAACTGCTTCCCGACCGCCCTATAGCAGATATACTGCTACAAGGCGTCACGAGTGCACAAAATCACGTATATTTATGTGATTTTGCATTTCGGGGTAGGTGGCGCACGTCACCATACGCGGCCGCCGTGGCTGTGAATCACCGGGTCCTCGCCGGTGATTACTCGCTGGTGCCTAGTGATTGGCGAGCATCTCCGATGGGGAGGAGAACTGTTTGTAAACAAAACCGTTCTCCTCCCTGTCAGCTCGTGCACACTGCTTTGTGCACAGCCATGCAAAGCAGTGTGCTTACAGTGAAGCACAAACACACCCATCACACAGTTAACCCTTTGATTGCCCCTCATGGTAACCCCTTCCTGCTCAGTGCCAATAGTACAGTGTTAGTGCTTTTTTTTTAGCACTGATCACTGTATTGGTGTCACTGGGGATGTCAGTGGCACAAAGTCAGTCCCCCCCAGTGTCAGAATGCTCATCGCAGTCCAGCTATAAGTCACTGGTCGCCGCCATTACTAGTAAAAATAAATGAAAAAAATTCCAGTATCTATACCATTTGTAAACGCTATAACTTTCACGTAAACCAGTTAATTTACACATATTGGGATTTATTTTACCAAAGACATGTAGCAGAATACATTCTGGCCTAAATGTATGACGACAATTGATTTTTTAAATTTTTTCTACTGGACATGTATAATAGCAAAAAGCCAAAAATATTGTTTTTTTCTCAAAATTGTCGGCCTTTCTTTTCTTTATAACGCAAAAAATAAAAAGGCACAGACGATCAAATAACACTGAAAGAAAGCTCAATTCATGGGAAAAAAAAGGACATTTCATTTGGGTGTAGCGCTGCATGACACAGCGCCGTAACACAAAATATGGCCTGGTCAGGAAGGGGGGTAAATCCTCAGGAGGGCAGAATACTGTAAATACATACCTGACCTACTGCTTGTGTCAGTGAATGAAAGTAATACCACAAAGTTGGTTTGGAAACCGACACTCCAGAAGTTTTGATGTCCTGTGTCCCACCTCCCCCCCTTCCTCCCCTCTGCAGGGCTTAGTGGTTTCAAATTATGACACCAACATTATTATACAACACAGTCAATTTCTGAACAGATAATGTGGGGTGATTTTTCCCCATCAGACATCAGCATGCATCAGCTTTGGCAGCAGGAGAAGTAGGACTTCTGTTAGGACTTTTATTTAAGTGACAGAGTTGCTTGAAAGAAAACCTATAGTGAGAAAATATGGAAACGGGCATTGATAGCCTCTATTTCTAAAAAATGCTAGTTGCCTGGTTGTCATGCTAATTGAATGTCTTCAATACTTTGAGTCATCCTGAACAGGATTGCAGATCAAGAGTTCTGACTTTCTAATCTGCTTCCTTGTTCCAGGTCAGTGTCTCAAGACATTGACACTCAAGCAATTAACATTTTCATAAGGAGGTAAGCAATGGCAGCCCTTGGTTTAAGAAATGGTTTAACTGGAGCTGAAGGATGCTTTGACAGCCAGCTTTTGGAAAACTACCCTTGCTGGAAGCTTTGTATTAACCAGATGAACACATTGCTCATGCTACTATTTAAAGTGATATGTAAACCCCAAGGGTTCATGCACAGTACATACTAGGTGGTTGAAAAAATGCCAGAACCTCTGGAAGAAAAAGCAGCATAGAAAATGTTCATAGTGGCTCGTATTGCACAAGAGTTTATACGTGTTTATGGGCATTTGCTTTTATAACCATTTTTTCCCAAAACATTCCTCTCTGCTCATTTTTCACTATAATCAATGTACACTTAAAAACACCGAACACTCATAAAGTCACGTTTATGCACGTCAAGCATTTTTTTTCTGCCCGAAATCTCCTCTCAAAAACAAACTTGTGATGTTTTTTTCAGACTGAAAATGCTCCTCTACAAATGCGCATGTAAACGCCCAAATGTGTATGGACAAATAGACTAACATTTGCTTATACAGGCTGAAGAAAAAAATTGCAAAAGCCTGTCTAAGCAGCATTTTTTGTATGTGCATGAGGCCTAACACCAAACTTATCTTTTTTTGCTTCACTTTTATATACCATTTAAGATACCATTGAAAACTGTAAATTTTGTAGATTTTTTTGCCTGGACATACTGTACATTTTGAACCTGGGTTCACACTTGTGCGGTGTGGCATACCGCATGGGATTCGCACAGGAACCGCACAGCATTCCTGTGAAAATCACATGTGAATTCTGTGATGTGCGATTTCAGTCATACATTTTGTATGGCTCAAATCACACCACATTCGTGCCAAAAAGGTTCAGGACCCTTTTTTCAGTCCACACTAGAATCAAATCGCATGGGTGTGAACACCCATGCGATCCAATTCTGCACATCGCACCACGTTTTGCGAACTGATTTTGGGGCGTCGTTAACTTAAAATACACACTCGCAATGGTTCGTGTGAATGGGGTGCGATTATGATGCGGTGCAGAAATCGCATAGAAATCGGTGCAAATTTCCGCGTGAACCCAGGCTCACTGTAAAGTGTGATCATACTCTATAAATTATACTATAAATTATACTTCATTGCCCTGATTACATTTTTTTTACTTCATATACTGATATTTTTAAATATTACTGTACACAAAATATGTTTACATGTTTTTTTTATTTTGTAATTCTTAGACATACATTGGGACATTACTGGTGTCTGTGAACCCATACAAGGAACTTGACCTATATACCGAGAGGCAAATGGAAATGTACCAAGGAGTAAATTTCATTGAGCTGCCACCACACATGTATGACGATGTCACAGTAACTATAAAACTGTCATGTTGCCAGTCTTTAGTTTTGCTTTTTAGGGCTTTGTACAGTACACATTGGCTTTAGCTTGTAGAAAAGCAGTGTGTAAAACAAATGTCTACACATCCTTTAAAAAGCTTACGCCAGCTTTATTGACATTTTATAACAATTTTTATTTGCATTTTTGATAGTTTTATCACAGATCATCCTGTACTTTAACCGTTTCCCAACCGCCCTATAGCAGATATACTGCTACAGGGCGACACGGGTCTGCAAAATCACGTATACATACGTGATTTTGCATTTCCAGGTAGGGGGGGCACACGCCCTACCCGTGCCGCCATTCGCAACTGTCATGACTGGGTCCTGACCGGCGATTACTCGCCAGCGCCCGTTGATTCATGAGCATCTCCGACGGGGAGGAGAACTGTATGTAAACAATACAGTTCTCCTCCCTGCCAGCTCGAGCACACTGCTTTGGATGGCTGTGCACAACACAGCCATCCAAAGCAGTGTGCTTACAGTGAAGCACACGGACACAGCACAGAGTAAAACAGTACACAGCACACAGTTAACCCTTTGATCGCCCCACATGTTAACCCCTTCCTGCCCAGTGCCATATAGTACAGTGTCAGTGCTTTTTTTTAGCACCGATCACTGTATTGGTGTCACTAAGAATGTCAGTGACACCAAGTCAGTTCTCCCAGTGTCAGAATTCCTACCCCAGTCCCACAGTCCCGCTATAAGTCGCTGATCACCACCATTGCTAGTAAAAATTAAAGAAGAAAAAAACCCAGTATATATTCCGCCATTTGTAAACAATATAACTTTCATGTAAACCAATTAATTTTGTATTGGGATTTTTTTTATTTTTTTTTACTAGACATGTTTAATAGCAAAAAGTAAAAAATATAGTTTTTTTCTCAAAATTGTCTTTTTTTTTTTTTTTTTTTTTTTTTTTTTTTTATAGCTCAAAAATTAAAAAACACACAGGCAATCAAATACCACCAAAAGAAAGCTCAATTTGTGGGAAAAAAAAGGATGTAAATTTAATTTTGGCGCAGCATTGCATGACCGATGCAATTGTCAGTTAAAGTAATGCAGTGCCGTAACGCAAAAAATGGCCTGGTCAGGAAGGGGGGAAATCATCAGGAGCACAAGTGGTTAAACAAGCTGCTAGCAAGCTTTAGACCTCAAACACATGAACGTACTTAGGCATAAAATATGCCCAGCATAAAAAACACCTTGATTGCAGCAGGCAATACTGTAGAAGTGAATGGCTGTAGGACTCTGTATTCAAGTAAATGATGATGCATCTCTGCATCAGTCTGTACCAATGCAAAGAAACATCAGCATTTACTCAAGCAGAGGGGCTTACAACCATTCACTTTTATGACTGCCTGTACACGTCACCAGCAACTCCCCTGCCACATAAAATCAATATATTTACTTACACTAGAATTATTTTATACTTAAGTACTGTATGTCTGTGTGCATGTACCCTTCGGCAAACTCCAACACTTATCAAGGCCCTGCCATACCTGCTCCCTCCAAACCAAAAACATTTGGTTGGCTTACTAAGGGTTATTTACTAGAAATGGAGCGTGCAATATCTGATGCAGCTCTACATAGAAACCAATCAGCTTTCAGGTTTCATTGGCAAAGCTTTATTGATCAAGCTGAAGTTAGAAGCTGATTGGCTACCATGCACGGCTGCACCAGCTTTGGTAAATCTTCGCCACTCTGTCTGAGATCCTTACTTTTAGAATTCAAATCAGAGACCCAGAACATATATGCTGTAAATAAGTGTCAGAAAAGTATCAGAATTCCTTTTCTCTATACTTGTTCCAGGTCAGGGACTAAAAAAAGCATTTAAACCAATGCAACAGCCTGGCAGCCAGGAAATAGGAAGTTTAAAAAGAAATGGTCAGCAATGGCAGCCTCCATGATTCTTTTTTGACAGGCCTGCTATTACTGTGGTAAAGTGACAGCCAGAAATTCAGTTATGGTTTTTATGCAAAATTGGAATTGCAGGATGTTTTTAAGGGCTTCAAATAAAAATGTAACCCCAGAATACTCAGCTTAATGACCATGTAGACCAGTATTTCAGGGTGAGACTTTCTTATTTCTGTCTCATGTCACTACTCTCTGCTTCTTCTACATCTTTGTTTACCTCCTTTTCTTCTTCTTCTTCTTCTTCTTTTCCTTCTACTTCTTCTTCTCGTCCCCTCCTGTGCCTTTAAGGAGGGGTGGGCTCCCTCCAGGTATTGCTCTTATAAAAAGGAGGGCTTTTTTTCCCTATTTATACTTACTTGGTCCAATGCTGCATCTGCCCCCAGACGGCTCTAAGGGTGAGAACTCAGCAATCACATGACTGCTGATTGCTAAGTTCTCACAGCCACTCTGAGCAGAGAGCGGGACTGTCAGTCTATTAATATACATGACTGAGGGACATGCAGAGTATCGAGGCTAATACTTACCAGCTAACTATTAAAAACAATCACCCCAAACCTTCCCCCACCTGAAATAACCACACATCTCTCCTTCTTTGGTGTCAAAAACGGCCATAGCAGTCCATTTATTTAACATAACCACTATTGCATTACAATGCATCAAGTACAATCAGTTTATTAACTGACAGTAATGATCCCAACCAGGTCCAAGGTCTTCGAAGGCACTGCTAATCACATCAAATAACTTGGCTGTATCTGACACCCAATGAGAAGGCCCGTAGTCGCTACTACTCCCGCCTTGGGGACAATGCTACAACTATGTAGTCTCAGATACAGCCCATTAACTACAACCTTACCAACGTACCCTTATAATTGGGAAGGGACACCCATACCTACGATGGGCCCAACCCACAATCCTCAAAAATGTCACTCCAGCACCGCCTTTAAAGACCCAGCGACCCCTGACAGCTGCCATGACAAAAAACCCCAAGACACAAAATGCTAATAAAACAAGGAAAGAAAAAAACAAAAAGAGCCCCCCCCCAAAAAAAAGGCAAGACAAACACAAAGAACATAATCAAGGACTTGAAACAACAAAACAAAAAACACCAACGAAACAGGTACAGGGAGGGAGGGTGGGAGTCATGCTGGCCTTCCACTTAGCTTTGCTCAGTTCCAGGCCATGTACTTGACAGCTGACAGGCAGGAGGATGCATTTATGGTAGAATAGACCAATAGGGTCTCTTCTGTTACAAATACCCTGCATGTCAGCAACTTTTTAAAAATTTACTTCCACTTTAAATCTTAGGGATTGTGTGTTTTTGTTGATTTGCTTTTTTAAATGTTTTTATCTGGGTGGCTATTTTTGAATAGATGGTGCTTTTGTTGATTTTTGTTTGTGTTTTTCTATGCTTTTGAATTACTTTTTTTTTTTTTCTTTTACCCTTGGGCACTTATGCTTGTAGGAGGGCAGATTTGTTTATTGTATTTAAGTTTGCTTTATGACTAGAGATGAGCGAATCGAACTTGGCGAAGTGGAATTCGTTTCGAATATTAGGAAAAATTCGATTCGCACCGAATCCGAAAATTAGCAAACTTCGGATGCACGAATCAAATTTTTCCCGATCGGCCGATTTTCATCCCTTCTACAGCCGGCAAAAAGTGTCCCTGCAGAGAGCTCCGCTATTTCTGACAGTTCTCTGACAGTTCCTTCACATTTACAGCGGTTGAAACATTGTATCTATTTGTTTCCATTTAGGATACAGATGTTTTTATTCGGAAACAAATAGATACAATGTTTCAACCGCTGTAAATGTGAAGGAACTGTCAGAGAACTGTCAGAAATAGTGGAGCTCTCTGCAGATACACTTTTTGCTGTACTGGAATTCTTCTTCTTTTCATTCTTCTTCTTCTTTTCATTCTTCTTCTTCTTTTCATTCTTCTTCTTCTTCTTCTTTTCATTCTTCTTCTTCTTTTCATTCTTCTTCTTCTTTTCATTCTTCTTCTTCTTCTTCTTTTCATTCTTCTTTTCATTCTTCTTCTTCTTCTTTTCATTCTTCTTCTTTTCATTCTTCTTCTTTTCATTCTTCTTCTTCTTCTTTTCATTCTTCTTCTTCTTCTTCTTTTCATTCTTCTTCTTCTTCTTCTTTTCATTCTTCTTTTCATTCTTCTTCTTCTTCTTCTTTTCATTCTTCTTCTTCTTCTTCTTTTCATTCTTCTTTTCATTCTTCTTCTTCTTCTTCTTTTCATTCTTCTTCTTCTTCTTCTTTTCATTCTTCTTTTCATTCTTCTTCTTCTTCTTTTCATTCATTCTTCTTCTTCTTCTTCATTCTTCTTTTCATTCTTCTTCTTCTTCTTCTTTCTTCTTCTTCTTCTTCTTTTCATTCTTCTTTTCATTCTCTTCTTCTTTTCATTCTTCTTTTCATTCTTCTTCTTCTTCTTCTTTTCATTCTTCTTTTCATTCTTCTTCTTCTTTTCATTCTTCTTCTTCTTCTTTTCATTCTTCTTCTTCTTCTTTTCATTCTTCTTTTCATTCTTCTTCTTCTTCTTCTTCTTCTTCTTCTTTTCTTCTTCTTTTCATTCTTCTTTTCATTCTTCTTCTTCTTCTTTTCTTCTTCTTCTTCTTCTTTTCATTCTTCTTTTCATTCTTCTTTCTTCTTTTCTTCTTCTTCTTCTTTTTCTTTTCATTCTTCTTTTCATTCTTCTTCTTCATTCTTCTTCTTCTTCTTCTTCTTTTCATTCTTTTCATTCTTCTTTTCATTCTTCTTTTCATTTTTCATTCTTCTTTTCATCTTTTCATTCTTCTTTTCATTCTTCTTCTTTTCATTCTTCTTTTCATTCTTCTTCTTCTTCTTCTTCTTTCATTCTTCTTCTTCTTCTTTTCATTCTTCTTTTCATTCTTCTTTTCATTCTTCTTCTTTCTTTTCATTCTTCTTTTCTTCTTCTTCTTCTTCTTTTCATTCTTCTTTTCATTCTTCTTTCATTCTTCTTTTCATTCTTCTTTTCTTCTTTTCATTCTTCTTTTCATTCTTTTCATTCTTCTTCATTCTTCTTCTTCTTCTTTCTTCTTTTCATTTCATTCTTCTTCTTCTTCTTTTCATTCTTCTTCTTCTTCTTCTTCTTCTTCTTTTCATTCTTCTTCTTCTTCTTTTCATTCTTCTTTTCATTCTTCTTCTTTTCATTCTTCTTTTCATTCTTCTTTTCATTCTTCTTCTTCTTCTTTCTTCTTCTTCTTCTTCTTTTCTTCTTCTTTTTCTTCTTCTTCTTCTTCTTTTCATTCTTCTTCTTCTTCTTTTTTCATTCTTCTTCTTCTTCTTTTCATTCTTCTTTTCATTCTTCTTCTTCTTTTCATTCTTCTTTTCATTCTTCTTCTTCTTCTTCTTCTTCTTTTCATTCTTCTTTTCTTCTTCTTCTTTTCATTCTTCTTCTTCTTCTTTTCTTCTTCTTTTCATTCTTCTTCTTCTTCTTTTCATTCTTCTTTTCATTCTTCTTTTCATTCTTCTTTTCATTCTTCTTTTCATTCTTCTTCTTCTTCTTCTTTTCATTCTTCTTTTCATTCTTCTTCTTCTTCTTTTCATTCTTCTTTTCATTCTTCTTCTTCTTCTTTTCATTCTTCTTTTCCTTCTTCTTTTCCTTCTTCTTTTCTTTTCATTCTTCTTTTCCTTCTTCTTTTCCTTCTTCTTTTCCTTCTTCCTTTCCTTCTTCTTTTCCTTCTTCTTTTCCTTCTTCTTTTCCTTCTTCTTTTCCTTCTTCCTTCCTTCTTCCTTTCCTTCTTCTTTTC